GGTTAGGGCCAGTTGATCAGTTTCGACAAATATTTACCCCCAATGGAACCTACCCGCTCCATGACAACACAGAGCATTTCCATCTCCCAGAAAGTTCCCTCACGTCCTTATGTGGCCAGTCCTCAACAGACGGGGTGTTCAGTGCAGGCGTCTCCCGTTGGCATCCCAGTGTCTGACTGTGCTGGTTCACAGAGGACACAGCGCATTCGGAGGGGCTGACACGCCAGTGCTGGAGGGAAAGCAGGTCTTCCGCTAGCACAGCCCCGGTTGAACAAACTCGGCCTCTGCTGCTGGATGAGGAGACAAGACTCTGTCTAAACCTTTGGGGGATGCCCTACACGGGGGTATCCTTCGTCCCCCAGGATCCCCAGCCCTCCCCTGAGTCGGTTTTGGTTCTCTCCTCTTCCTCCAGTTCTTTCTTTGAAACAGGTTGTCCCTCCATCAGGATGGGGAAGTTCCAGCTGCGTCTCCCTCCTCTGTTCCATCCCTTCCTGGCAGTGGTGCAGGGGGCCCACCGCGGCTCTGAGCGGGTGACCGTGGGGAGCAGAATTGCTGAGCGCTTCAGAATCACGTTTTTCTCTTTCTCTTGAAGGCGGCAGTTTGTTTTAGAAAAGACACAGCCCACAAGACTTATTTTCCTGAAGATCATAATCTATAGTAAAAGTATACCCAGTGGGGAAAGTGATGGTAGAATAAGAGGGCGAAGTTAAGACACAAAACTGGCTCATGTCCTCCAAGCAGTAAAACCATCTTCTCTTTCCTGTGGGACGGAGCTCATTTGCATCTCTCCCTGACAAAATCACTTGCAACCTGTCCATTTTCTGCAAAAGGACATCTACCCTGACCATCTAGTTCCATTTCCCTCGAGCGCTGACACGGCTGGAAGAGAGCTTGTTAGACCAGTGGTCGGCAAACTCATTAGTTCACAGAGCCAAACATCAGCCGTACAACGACTGAAATTTCTTTTGGAGAGTCACATTTTTTAAACTTAAACTCCTTCTAAGCCACTTCTTCAACATAGACTCGCCCAGGCCGTGGTAATTTGTGGAAGAGCCACACTCAAGGGGCCAATGAGCCGCATGTGGCTCGCGAGCCACAGCTTGCCGACCACTGTGTTAGACAATCCTCTGGGAGACTCGGAAAGGACATCGTCTGTCTTTTTTTGCCCGACGGGACGAAGGGGACAGGGGCCGGTGGAGCTGTTGCAGCGACGCCACTGTTGTCACAGGAATCCTCTCCCCGCCCAGGCTCCTCCTCAGTCCAGTCTGATAGACGAGTTATTTCTTGCAGCTCCCTCTTTGGTCAAATGACAAAATTAGCACAATTTAGTAACGGGTTTGATGTCCTTTTACTCCATGGGCTGGGGAGTGTAGCGGCTCATTAGCAGTGGAGGACTCTTCCCGAGGGATGTGGGCAGGAACGGGTTTTCCGGAGTGCTGGAGAGGCCCTGTGGAAGCATGCTGGCCAGGAGGAGGGGATTTCCTTATAGGACCAGCAGGTCTTGTTTTTCTCCTCTCTCTCCATGGAGGGCTAGGTTCCTTACCCTGTTTTGCTGGGTAAGGTGAGCTAGCTGGAGTTGGAGGATTATGACCGGGGTTACTAGGTTTCCGCAACAATGAGGCGATTCCCGTAAGTGCAGGCTGGCTTAGGTGCAGATTTGTGACACGTGGGCTGGGCCACAGGGGCTGCCTGCCTTCTGTGGGTCCCAGTGAGTGTCTCTATGCAAAGGAAAGGCCCATTGCTCAAGAACGTTCAGCTTTCCGGGAAGATGGAGCTCTCTGAATCAAAAGACTGATTCATTCTCCTTTGGTGACTTTAGACTGAGCTTTTTTGACTCATTGGTGATTTTCCTTATGGAAGAAGCTTCTAAGCAAAAGAAGGGGAACAGGCCTGATCCTGAGTCCTAGTAATCCCTGCACAAAGGTGCCAGAGAAGGCTGCCCTACAGCGACGGGGGCCTGTGCCATCAGCGGCCACAGCAGCTTCTCATCAGCTCACTTTGGGAAGCAGGAGGCTGGAGTCGGCCCCATCAGCCTACCCGGGTTCTTGCTGCAGGGCTTTAGGCATAAGTCACACATTCTTTGTGTTTCATGATTTAAATGAAAAGAAGATACATCCTGCTGTACTATTCTCATGGGGGGGGGGAGGGGAGGGGGATTTGTTGAGTTGGTACTTGCCAGGCACAATGCTCCCTGTGGGACCAACTGAGATATTTGTCTTGCAACTCCAAAGGTATATAGCCCAGCCGGCAGGTGTGGCTCAGTGGTTGAGTGTTGACCTATGAACCAGGAGGTCACAGTTCAATTCCAGGTCAGAGCACATGCCCAAGTTGCAGGCTGGATCCCCAACATGGGGCGTGCAGGAGGGGGCCGATCAATGATTCTCTCTCATCACTGATGTTTCTGTCTCTCCCTCTCCCTTCCTCTCTGAAATCAATAAAAAAAATATATATTTTTTAAAAATAAAGTAAAGAAAGAAGGTATATTAGGTAACAATTACTAAGATGAAAGACTCATGACAATTAGCCTGCATGCTGGCCCTGGGTGGCTGCAGCCCCCAGGGGTGTGGGTGGGGTGAGGGAGCAGTGCTGGTAGAGGGGTTGAAGGGCTGTGCTGAGATGGAAGGTGGGGAGAGACTTAACCCAAAATAGCAAAGGATTCCGCCTCTGGTGCTCGGCCTGCACACCACTCCCCGGGGGTGGCCCTGCGGGTGGCTGGCAGCCAAGCAATTAGTGCCGTGTGAAAAGAAAGGATTGCCACTAGAATTGGCCCCTGCTGGTCTCCTGAGACCCAGGGAGCCAGCCTAGGTCCAAAGTCCCCGCTGAGTCCAAGTCCGAGGCAGAGTGGCTCCTCCTCTCTCCCCCACGGGGCTGTAGGCATGGATTACGGCTAAAGATATACCGGTATTTCCCCCTCAAATTACATAACAACCATAACATGATTTTCTGAGCAGCCCTTCCCACGGGCGGGCGCTTCTCCCCGAGCTCCAGGGAGCCGCTGGACCCCTCCCCACCCCAGGCCCTAGGATTAAGGACGGAGCAGGGTCCCGTCCCTTTGTTACTGGCCAGGGGACTGGTGCGTGCGGAACAGGCCTGCTTAGGGCGGCCGGTGGTGTGTGGGTTCCTGACCTTGTACAGGAGAGAGCTCACAACGTGCATACGGGTGACTTTGAGAGTAAGTTCATTAAAGCTGGGGACAGTGAAGCAAGGCAGGGCTTAGGGCAGAAGCAGCAACAGGATGGAGACGAAGCTGCTTTGGCTCATGGGAAGCCAGAGAAAAGGGGCTTTGGGGTCAGGGTCACGGGGTTAGCCTGGGACGAGTTGCTGCTGCCCGTTGCTGCCTGGTTGAGAGTCTCCGGGGACCCTGTGGGGAAAGAGGGGGGGCAGGGAAAGGCATGAGCTTGGAAACCGCACAGCAGGGTTTGCTTTTATAGAATCTCTTTTTGTTCTCTTCAGAGCACAGACCTTTACGCCGATAAACGCACTTTGCTCCTTATTACTGTGTTGGTGAACACAGTCCTCCCAGGCTGCGGAAGATGCTGTAGGCTGCTAGCCGCCAGAGCAGAAGTAACTCATGGGATGGCCCAGAGGCAAGGAGGGGGCCAGGGGGGCTGATGGAGGCTCACACCTCCTCATTTCTTCATCGGCTCCTCTGAAGCCCCAAAGCAGCCCGGGGGACCCCCAAACAGGCAGCAGCTGGCCCTGGGAACTGTTTGCTTGGCTGAGGGTGCTTTGATGTGACACTTTGGACAGAAAGGAAACCACGCAAGTGTGAAATATGACCCCCTCTCCTGGGAGCAGGAGTCCCTCGGAGGCATGGTCTGAAGGCAGGAGAGGCTGGGGAGAGGGGTGGGCAGCGCACACTCCTGACTGGGGAGGAGTGCCTCCACAAAGCTCAGAGAGGGCACAGAGGTGGCACGGGTGGGGCACAAGGGGGATGTGAGTGGGAAACCCTCCGGGCAGTGGAAACGTGCAGCTGGCACCCAGGTAGCTATCAGCCAGGACGTGGAGCGTTAGTGGAAGCCCATGGGGCAGTGAGCAGAGATACAAGGCCAGAAGCCCAAAGACTGAAGCTTGGGGATCAAGTACAGGATCCGGGACAAGGGGCAGTAGGGGGGGGGTGGCCCAGAGGCGAGCATGGTCAGTGCTGTCCAAGGCCTTGACACTGGGCTCTGATCTTCCCAGCCCCGCTGTAGAGTATTAAAGGCGGCTGCAGCCCAGTGGCGTGGCTCAATGGTTGAGCCTCGACCTATGAACCAGGAGGTCACGGTTTGATTCCGGGTCAAGGCATATGCTTGGGTTGCGGGTTTGATCCCCAGTGTGGGGCCTGCAGGAGGTAGCTGATCAATAATTCTCTCTCATCATTGATGTTTCTCTCTCTCTCTCCAAAATCAATAAAATACTTAAAATATTAATTTTAAAGCAAGGCAGCTGCAAATCCTTTCACCCCTCTCCCACCGAGACGTGGCAGCTTTGCTTCCTCCCATTAAGTCTGGGCGGCCGACGGGGGCGCCCACAGAATAAAGACCCCACAGACAAAGTACCGGCGGCTCCAACGCCCTAAAGCTGGGGACACTTGCTCTCAGAAGCCAGCCCCCACGCTGCGAAGCCCCTTCACGCGGTCCACGGATGAGGAGCCTTAGCTCACAGCACATTCCTGAGCTCAGGTCTGGGGTGGTCGGACAGCAACATCCATCCTCCTCTCCCAGGGCATGGTGGGTGGTGGGGCCCCATCTGGAGCTCCCCCTCCCTCCACCCTCCCTTCACTTCTGCTCAGGTGGCCCCAGGCCTCTGTGGGGGGTCAGGTGCGGCTCACGGTGGCCTCCACAAGAACAGGACGGGACAAGCTCCGGCCTCTGAGTGACCCACGGGCAGCCGCAGCCGGCTTCCTGCCCTGGCATCTGCTGAGCCCACGCGAGCCTGCCCCAGGGAACCAGGGAACTCCAGGGCCTCCGCTGACCCAGGGACAGACAGCCAACGCATTTCAGCAACCTGACGCCCTTTTGTTGTTCATGTGTTTATTTAAAAAAGTCTAGGAAATAAAATGCTACTTAAAAACGATAACAAATAAATTATTCCCAGTTAAGCATTGGGGTGGAAGGAGCCGGGAGCACGTCGGGCGGGCACCTTCCAGGAGGCGTAGCTTCAGAACACGTGAGATCCAGCCGGGTCTCGGAAGACAGCGAGTCGGCCTGCGCTGTGGCGCGCTCGGTCAGAAGGAAAAGGCCACGTGGGACCCTTGTCATTCAAGGGGATGTGTGCGGTGACAGCCACACCAAAGACGGCCAGCCACGCTTTGGGGCAGAAGGCAGAGCACCCACCCAGCCAACCAGGAGGCAAGGGGAGGTAGGGAATGGAGGGCCAGGGCTAAACCGGTGATTTTAAACAACGGTGTGATTTCAGTGGAGGGAAGGACGCCACAGCTTTGATCCGGAGTGACAGGGACCGTCAGCATCTCAGGTTGGGAGGCCAAGGCCGGGGGGTTTGGGGGAAAGAGATCGGGGACCGGGGACTGTGCAGGAGCCAGCCTTTCAGAAGAGAAAGGTGCCATAGGCCGAGCAGCGCTGAGGGCACAATGACACACACACACACACACACACACACACACACCAATCTCTTCCTTTTGGAAAGAGTTCAAGAGGCCTCGGAATACACACCACGGAGGAGACTGCAGAACTCCTTTTCATGGAGGCAAAGTAGCACGGGAACAAGTCCAGCCGTCGCTTGAACAAGTCCAAGGTGAACTCACCGAACTCGAGGAAGCGCACTCACTTTTCAAAGGGGGTTCTGCCCCGGGAGGACTGAGCAGGGGCCCCCAAAGGCAGACACCCACCGGAGCCAGGCTGGCAACTACAGTCGACCAGGGCTGTGGCCTGTGAGTGAGAAAACGTTCCTGAGGCACACGCCAGCCTCGAGGCCCGTCTTCCCATTTGATCCGAGATACAGGTCCCAAACGTCTCCTTTCATTATGGGAGAAGCAACTCTGCGGGGATGTGGATCGCTGGGAACAGACAATGAGCCTCAGCGCGGGAGGCAACAGGGCGTGGTGGGAACCGTGGGAGCTGGTAGACCAGATGCCCCAGCTGCAGTGGCGCTGTTCCTCCATGCAGCCATTGCTGGGTGGGACCGTGAGTCCCAGCGTGGCCAGGCCTAAGGATCTGGATTGGTACGTAAACATTTTATCGTTTTAAATGTTTATAATCAATTCTGAAAAAAAAGACTTAGCTAAACGAAGCGCACCGGTGGGCTGGATCGTTGTGTCGTCTCTCCTGCCGTGTCAGGAGGGCGTGTAGGTAGAACGCCCCCGCCTCACACAGAGGTCCAGACCCCAATCAGGGGCTGGTTGCAACCCTGTACCGGGGTGGCTCACACGTCTCTCTCATTACGGGCTGGTGTCTAACCCAACCGAGTTTAGAAGGACACGGGCCGTGATGACTGTATCCAGACCAGAACTCATCATTTTCAACGTCTTCATCATCGGAATGAGTCCACTTGGAAACGAGAAGTTGGCGGCGTCCTGGAAAACCTCCTGCTGTTCCTTCCCCACAATTCCTCCCCTTTAGGGTTTCTGATGAGCGCCCTACAGGACGTCTCAGTGCCCTGCCTTACGCACAGTCTTTGGGACGGGGCCGAGCTATTCCCCAGTCTCCGCTGGCTCGTGGGCATCCAGCAAGGGGACGTCTGTGTTCCCGTCGCTTCCGTTCCGCTTGCTGGGATGGGAGAAGGTGTAGGGTTCGCTGTCAGTCTCGGGAGGGAAGCCAGGGGACGACTCCTCTGTGGTCAGCTTTACAGTCGGGACCTTGGAATACGAGATGAGGAAGGAGGGAGGGCAGTCCTCTGTGGGGCCCTGGAAGGGCCGGTAGGTGTCCACCTCGGGCTGGACGAAGGACCCGTTGGAGTCCTGCAGCAGGTGCCCGTACACCATGGTGTCGTCGATGATGGCGTACACGTGGGCGTCGTTGTCCTTCTGTGCGTTCGGGAACTTCTTGGGCTGCATGGGTATCTGGGTGTTGATGTTGCCGTTGTAGATACCCACGGCCGGGCCCTTGTTCATCTTCTTTTTCCTGCTGAGAGAGGGCACGAGATAGTCAGGAAGACAGCGGTCGTAGACGGGCACCATTGCCCATCCCTGCTGGAACTCAGGTCCCTGCACCCCCCGGGCTGCGGGAGAAGAGACTGTGTCTCCCCCACGTCCCACAAATCGCTCAGTATTTGAACCTAAAATGACTGTGCTCACTGAATATTTAAAAAGACCAGCTTCTGTCTCCAGCTCAGGTGATGGAGGGAGGGGGTTTGCAGGGCTGGACTGGCGAGGCCCAGGTGGCCATTATCCCGCCGAGTTCACCCCCACGATGCTCACAGTCTGATGGGCCCAGGGGACTTGTGCTGAGGTGGCTGCATAAAAACTGCAGGCTTGCTGAAACCGGTTTGGCTCAGTGGAAGGGCGTCGGCCTGCGGACTGAAAGGTCCCAGGTTCGATTCCGGTCAGGGGCATGTACCTTGGTTGCGGGCACATCCCCAGTAGGGGGTGTGCAAGAGGCAGCTGATTGATGATTCTCTCTCATTGATGTTTCTAATTCTCTATCCCTCTCTCTTCCTCTCTGTAAAAAAAATCAATAAAATATATATATTTTAAAAGAATTTAAAACAAAACAAACTAAAAAACAAACCTCCCTCCCCCCCCAAAAAAACAACACTGCAGGCTCATATGTCACCACACCTGTATTTTGGCTTTTTGTCCCTTCCCTCCTCCCTGCTAGGTATGGGATATTTTCCCCCTCTAAGAATACTTTCTATCTGGCAATATGATTTAACATTGATCTTTGGGAGGGAAATGGGAAGCAAGCAAAAAGGCCCATAACTAGTGATCGGTCACTGTGATCCAAGGGGCTGTCAGAGCAGCTGAAGACGGAGAAAGTCCACCTACTTCTTTTTTACAAGGCAGATGATGAGTCCGAGGGCCAACAGCAGCAAGGCGCCCCCTCCCACCACGGCGATGAGGATGGCAGTCATGTCTGTGAGTGGAGACAAGGGGGGGAGGGGGGGAGAAGGAGAGACGTGTGGGATTAGGTCTGTGATGGACTAGAGTACATAGTCTCCAAAGATGACCGCCACCCACTCCTTCTCCCTCTGTACCCACATGCTGCCCTCAGGTCCATAAGTCCAGCTCCGATCAGAACTGTCCAGCCACCATCTGAGCAATAATAATGGCTGTTTTTAAGCCACTGAGTCCCGGGGTGTTTTGTTACGCAGCACTACTGACCCAATAGCTGACAGATACATGGACAAGCCAGGGCTCAAAGCTATGTTTTCTGACTCACCTCCCAGGCTTGCTCCTTCCCCCTCAGCCACCAATGTGCACCATTAACATCCCCAGAAAACCCCAAAGGCCCTTACTTAGCGTTCTCCAGGTGAGCGACACCTGGAAGAGCAGGTCCAGCTGCTTGCCACTCACAGGGCTGCAGTTGGAGATGTTGACCCAGAAGTTGTGATGGTGGGGGCTGGACTTGGGGAGCACGTCCTCCAGGCTGACCACCTGCTCGGCCTTGGTCCGCTGGTCCTGGGTGATCATGAAGGCGCGCCCTGTCTGGCACACCAGGCCGGTCCGCTCCCGCAGGAAGGTCAGGTAGGCCACCTGGTCGCCGGGCACGCTGATGTTCCAGGACACCGAGGCCAGGGGCGGCAGGCCCCGCTCCCGGTTAGGGGTCATCAGGTAGACCTTGCTTTTCATATCCGGGGTCACCGTGAAAATACCTTCCTCTGCAGGGAGGGGAAGAGAAGGAGCACAGACGTTTCCATCAGAGGGGAGAGAAGTCGTGGCAGGGAGAAGACGGTCAAGGGACACGACCAGAGCTGTCCGACAGAGCATTCTGTCCTTCATCTGCACCGTCCACGGGAGTAGCCACGGCCACACGTGTCTGCTGAAGACCTGACACGTGCTCTGTGTGACGCGGGAACCACATTTCAAACTTTCTTGTTGCCACAGGTGGCCCCTGGCTACTGAATTGGTCAGCATAAGATTAGAGACTCATGCCGAAACTGGTTTGGCTTAGTGGATAGAGCGTCGGCCTGCGGACTGAAGGGTCCCGGGTTCGATTCCTGTCAAGGTCATGTACCTTAGTTGCGGGCACATCCCCAGTAGGGGGTGTGCAAGAGGCAGCTGATGGATGTTTCTCTCCCATCGATGTTTCTCACTCTCTGTCCCTCTCTCTTCCTCTCTGTAAAAAATCAATAAAATATATTAAAAAAAAAAAAAAAAGATTAGAGACTCAGTCAAATCAGGTGCTCAGGCCTTTTGGGGGGGGAAAAAAACCCCAAAAACAAACAAAACCAACAAGCAGAAAACAGGCCAGTTTGCCAAACTGGTGGTCACCTCAGCTTCCTTTCAGGAATGCCCTCTACATCGCTAACGTTCTCCTGTGCCCCATGGTGGGATGGATATACAACGGTTTCCGTTTCTGAGATTAAAACCTGCCCTGGCTGGATGGCTCAATTGGTTGGAGCGCTGTCCCGTACACCAGAAAGGCTGTGGGTTCCATTCTCTGTCAGGGCACGTACCTTGGTTGCGGGTTCGATCCCCAATGGGGGCTTGTTCGGGAGGCAACAGGTCGATGTTTCTCTCTCCCTTCCACTCCCTCCAGAAATAACAAAACAAAACAAAACAAACTAAAAAACCTATCAGGCCCTCAGAAGATTTCTGGAATTGCCAAGCAGGAGGTGCCTCTGACACCTCCACTGTCAACTAATCTGCTCCTGACCCCCAGGGGAGATAAACACGCACGCTCCACACCCATGAGTGTGTTCCTTTCACACACTCCCCGGAAGGAGTTTCTCTGATAATCTTAAAGATCTCCAGCAACCTAGATTGACCTTCATCTACCGCCACAGGTTCTTCTCCCTCACACTCGGGCCTGAGAACGAGAGTGAAGCAAACCTCAGAGAAAGCCGGGCCAATACTCCGATTGCCTCTCGTTGGGCGGTTCGTGATGGGGACTGGGACTTTTAAAACCAGCCATGCCGAGTTCCAGAGACACCTTCGTGACTAATCTCGACCTCAGTTCCTGCCTGGGACACGGAAGCTCACTGTACTCTTCCAGGAAAACGGGACCCTGGAGTTCTAGATCCTTCTCTCTCCCAGCATTCCTTTCGGGCGTTCTCCATACTGCATTCCGAATTCTCAAATCAGAATCATAAAAATGATTTTTTTTTAAATGAGGATAAGGATTTTTTAGGTTATCATAAGGATTTTGTAGGTTATCACCTTAAAAACCCAGGACTCGGGAATATGTGGTTAGTTCTAACTTATGCTCTGCCCGCTTCCAAGAAAGACTCGGATCTGATTACCGTATTTTTCGGACCATAAGACGCACCAGTTTTTAGAGAAGGGAAATGAAGAAAAAAAGATTCTGAAACAAATAGTGCCCTAAAATATTTTATGTGCATTAAAACCCAACATCACAGTCATAAACACATGTAATCAACCCTGTAAAGTAAACAGCAGCATTTAGAACCATTTTAGAGCCGGGCAAGCACACAGAGACCACACAGAGCAGGGCAAGTAAAAAAACTTTTTTTTTTAAAGTATATGTGAAGGCTACATTTGGACCATAAGACGCAGGGACTTTTCCCCCCCACTTCTGGGGGGAAAAAAGTGCATCTTATGGTCCGAAAAATACGGTATATGTTTTGCTGCCATCCACCCTCCCCTCCCCTGTCGCAGGGCCTTGGCATTCTCCACTCCAGGTTAGTGCTGGAGTCACAATCAGGACTCCAATGCCTAGTGTGAGGACCAGCCCACTCAGCTGTTGGCCCTCTTCAATCTGACAACTGGAGTAAGACGATTACAAAAGCAAAACGGCAGGAATGCCCGCACGAGAGAGGCCTGGAGGCGGAAGGGGGTGAAAGACGCCCTCACCTTTGAAGTGGGGTATGAGGGTCACGGTCAGGGCCTGCCCGGAGAGCTCCTGCTGGAAGCTGGGGGCGAAGGTGCGCAGGGTCACCACGACGTTCTGCTTCACCTGGATCTGCTCGATGGCGCCTCCGGCGCAGAAGGAGCCGAAGTGGAGGTCCTGGCCGGGGCCGGTGCCAACGCCGGTCACCAGGTAGCTGAAGCTGGTGTTGCAGAACCGCTCCTGCGTGTGCTGCTGCAGCTTCTGGGCCGGCACCAGCGCCAGGCTGAGCCTGTCCTTGGGCACCAGCAGCTTCCAGGAGAAGTCATGCAGCTGCACGGGCAGCTGGAGGATGTTGCTGGGCACCTGCAGGGAGTAGGACCTCCTGTGGCAGTACGGGTGGTTCGTGCAGCCTGGAAAAGAGGGGCTCGTGGTACCCAGGCCGGGAGGAGACAGGAAGAGCATCCTCCCAGCTCTCAAGTCAGCCCCAGGCTTCCTGGCTGTTCCCTTTGGTCCTTCCTCCCACGCTGTCCCCCTGATGCTCCGGCTCCCGACGCCCCCTCTCGAGCTCCCCGCCCTGCTCTCTCACGCTCTTCCTGACCTGGCAGACCAACTCTCCGCGAGTTTTTAGGGTTGAACTTTCTCTTCTTGTTTGTCAGGTTGTCACCCCTGTGTCTCAGATGCTAAGTGCCAGGTGGGCGGGGCCCAGGCCTCCCTGCCCAGTGTCCCGTTTGTGGGAGCAGCTCTGTGCAGTGGTGACGGCAGGGCGTGGAGCTGGGGGTCTCAGCTGGCATCCCAGCTCTGCCACTTCCTACCGGGTGGCCCGGCTCCTGCACTGGAGGAGACTCTGAGGGCATCCTCGCCAGAGATCACGGGGGCCCTGCAGGGAGGTGCCTGTGGGTCTGGCTGCCCCTTCATCACACATTTACTACGTGACTAGCACATGGCCAGCCCTGCTCGGGGCTAAAGGGATAAAATGCAATAGCCCTAGCCGGTTTGGCTCACAGGAAGAGAGTCTGAAGGGTCACAGGTTCGATTCCGGTCCAGTTGCAGGCTTGATACCCACCCCCAGTTGTGGGGCATGTGTGGGAGGCAACCAACTGATGTCTCTCTCACATCAACATTTCTCTGCGTCTGCCTTTTCCTCCCACTCTCTCTAAAAATCCACGGAAAAGTTATCCTCGGGTGAGGATTAACAACAACAAAAAAGAGACAAACCGACCTCCAGACTCGGAGTCTCCCGAGGGAGACCACAGTGGGCAGTGAGCGCGGAAGCAGGGGGCGTGCAGGGGAGAGGATGGGGAGGCCACCACCAGGAGGAGGGGTCTCACAGAGGGAGTCTGAGGAGACGTGAGCAGACCCGGGTCACCCACGGCCCTTGTGAAGGATGCACGTTCCAGCGGAGGCGGCTGGTCCCAGGGAGGCAGGTCTCCACCTCCTGGTTTGCTTCCCGGTGGCCCTTGCTCGCCCGGCACCGTGGGGGACATTGCTGGGCACTCTCTTTACCCCCCACCCCGTGGGCCCGCCAGGGAGACGGGGCAGGGTGGGAGAGGCGCCCGCGGCCCGGGGCGCGGGGGGACGTACTTATGGTTTTCTCCGCGTTCACCCAGAGGCGCGCCAGGTCGTCGCAGAGGAAGGAGATGCGGTGCCGGGCGCCGGGCGCCAGGGTGAGGTTGGTGCTGCAGGTCCGGGACTCCAGGCACACGAAGCAGCCGGGCACAAACCGGCGGCTCAGCTTCACGGGCCTCGGCTCGATGGTGACCCACATGGCTCGCTCGTTACTCAAGTCCACCTCGTAGGTCACATCTGGAACCACACACACGAGACAGGCGTGAACACCCGTGAAACGGGCAAAGAGGCACACCAAACCTCTCACGCCTGGGGGATGCGGGAGACGCTGTCCGTCAGGCAGCATCACCGTACATCGAAAAGAAAAAAAGGGAGAGCAGGGGCCGCATTTTGCCACATTCCTCTTTACCCATTCTCCCAGTGATGGAGATGTAGGTTGTTCCCCGTTTTTGATGTTTCTGAGGCTACGGGGCCTACGTACGCCCCTGCCTGCCTGGCAGCGGATGCATCGTGCTGCCTCTCGGGGGAACACCGGAGAGCGAAATGTCGGGGTCAGAAGTAGGAAGGCACAGGCTTTACTCTGTGAGAAACGACCAGAGGGTTCTATGGGGCTGTACTGTTTGACACTCCCCGGCTGGTGCCCCCGCCGCTGCCAGTTCAGCCGTTGCGGCGGGCGGAGGGTGGGGATCAGTTCTGTGGTGTCACAGTTACATTTCCTCCGAACGTGACTGTGATAATCAGCTGGGCGGTAACGGGAAAGGCCGTGGCTTCGATTCCGTTCGAGGACACGCACCTGGGTTGCAGGCTGGATTCCCCGGCCCGGTTGGGGAGGCGACCGATCGACTCGTCACTCTCACAAACAGAATCAGCACGCCACTCCCCACTCCCACTTCATTTTCCTGCCTGGCCCTGCCTGCTTCCCAGCAGTGAATGAGAAAAACAAGCTGAGCGCCAGCCCTCTGGACAGAACCCATCCTCCGCAGGTGAGACACGCCGGCGGCCCACCTGCCACAACGCCCCCTTCACAGATTCTGGCTCACAGATGGGCCCCCAGCACGCTGGCCTCACCTTGTACATGATCTCAGAGTCCACACTGCCACCCTCAGGACCGGGCTCAGGATGCGCCATGTAAGGGGGCCCTCGCTCTCGGGGGCGGGCCTGCACTTACCTCTGTAACGGGGAGCCCCTTGGAGTGGGCGCCTCCTGAACGCTGCGTCCCAAGCACTTCCCCTCACCCTCGTTCTGGCCCCGACTTCCCTTCTTTAGTTTCAAGGCCTCTGGGTAATCATGTGTGGGATGAAGCATAACCTCATGTGCACCCACCTCCCTGGGGCTCCGTGTGGCTCACAGCATGGGCTCTGGGTGCTGAGCTCTCTCGGCTCCCCACCACCCGTGTGACGTGAGCCTCATTTCACAACCTGTCCGAACCTCCTGGCTCCTCACCAGTAAACGACGATAGTTCCTGCCGCCCCCACAGGGTTGTAATAAGGATTAGTGGGGACGTATAAGCAGCGTGCTTAATGCAGTGCAGAGCGCCAACAGTGTTAGTGATCATTATTATTGCTGATGGTGTGGGGACATCGAGTCTCCCAGTATAAGGCCAAGACATGCTGCCTGGAGGGTAACCTTCCAATGCCTTCATTAGAAGCAACTCAGCAGCCCTGGCTGGTGTGTTCAGTGGGAAGAGCATTGGCCCGTGTACTGTGGGGTCTGGGGTTTGATTTCCAGCCCTGGTTGGGGTGCATGCCGGAGGCAACCATTCAATGTGTCTCTCTCACATCAATGTTTCTCCTTTCCCTCCTCCCCCGTTCCTCCCTCCCTCCCACTCTCTCTAAAGACAAAGCAATAAAAAATATATATTGAGTAAGGATTAACAAAACAAAAACAACCACAAAAACAACCCGGCACCCTGAATGTAAGTCTGCATTCCGGATTCTTCCTGCATTTCAATGGCTGGCCATGCCATGCCTTCACCAATAGGCCTGCCTCGCTGCCTAGTAACACACTTCCTGCAACTCTCCCAGGGTCCCGGGTCCAAATGGTCCCGAAGCCACAGCCGAGAATCAGGAAGGAAAGAAGGCGCTGGGGGAGGAGGCGACAGGAAGGTGGGCTCACTCACTGCTTTCATTTTGTGGGCTTTGGACCAAAACTTGAAACTTCAGCCGGAAAGTCCCCGGGTTTTGGGCGTCCTGGTCGCAGCCTTGCAGAGAGAGGTTGAAGTTCCCGGCCATGTTCCCCGGCTGCTTGTCCGCCAGCTTGAACACCTCGGGGTTGGTGGTGGAGCCCGGGATGTAGTACTCCACGCGCTCCTCCTTCTTCTCGCAGTTGGAGTTGTTGAACTGGAGGAAGGAGACGCTGGCCCGCAGGTGCGCGGGGATGACAAACTGCCACGTCATCAGCTCATCCTCAGGGAAGTTACCCGGGTAGTTGGCGGACATCAGGGTTGCCGAGCCTTCGCCCTCAAACACAGATTCGATGAAGCACAGTCCTGTTGGGAGGGGAAAGCCAAATGAGGAGATTAGACCCTGCTCTGACTGGCCCACAGCTTAGGGCAGGGGAAGGGAGCTCTCAGGTCCTGAGCCATGGGTCAGGATACGGTATGAGAAGGAGGCATCAGTGGTGTGCAAGTCAATGTTTAACAACTGGGATTCTAATATGTGGGTCCTGCCGGTTTCCTAGGTGTAAATATTCCCGCCATGGCTGATTTCAAGCTACCAATGTGAGATGACCCGAATGTGGGCTTGGGAAGAGATGGACAGCAGCTCACCATCATAAAGGATTTCCACTTGCAGAGAGAATCAGCATCAATAACCTCAAGAGCACAGATAACGGGAAAATGGAGAGAAATCACTAGGAGGCAATGAGTTTGGAGTGTTTATGGCTTTTGTTTCTACACTCATCACTTTAAAAAAATATATATTTTTGTTGATTTTTTTACAGAGAGGAAGGGAGAGGGATAGAGAGTTAGAAACATTGATGAGAGAGGAACATCGATCAGCTGCCTCCTGCACACCCCCCACCGGGGATGTGCCCGCAACCAGTGTACATGCCCATGACTGGAATACAACGCGGGGCCCTTGAGTCCGCAGGCTGACGCTCTAGCCACTGAGCCAAACCAGCCTCGGCTAATTCTGTTTTAATGAATGGCTCTGTTTAACACCAGCTCACAAAATTCCTGCACCCTGAACAACGAACTCTTGTGAGCCAGCCCAGCACACCACTGACACCGTCAGAGAAAATGTGAAATAGATAGAAGACGGGACAAAAAAGAAGAGTGAGTGATCATGATAGGTCTGTAGAACCAATCCCATTTCATTTCTTGAAAATAAACATGTACAAAGAGCAAAGAAAAGAGAGTCACTGCCGAGGCTACCAGAGAAGGGTAGATCCACACCGGGAGTGAGTGGCCTGGCCTGGCCGCTTACGGAAGTCCCTGTAAGGCATGCAGCTCAGAGCATACAACATTCCCAACACCGGTCCTTTCTGACCGAGAGCAACAGAGATTTTGTATGGTTTTTTGTTGTTGTTAAATCCTGACCCAAGGATATTTTTCCAGTGACTCTTCGAGTGGAAGGGAGGGGGAGAGAGAGAGAGAGAGAAACATCTATATGAAACACACCGATTAGTTGCCTCTGCACTTCACACACACACACACACACACACACACACACACCCCTCCCCCCAGAGACCCTTCAGTCCTCAGGCTGATGCTCTATCCACTGAGCCAAACAGGCCTGGGCGAGATTTTGTATGTTTGAACCTCAGCAGACAGCGGGAGGGCCTGGCGTGCTCACGTTTTATGGATGACCGGCTGGCCATGCTGAAGCCGGAGGAGGGCCTGTTGTCGAACCACGGCAGCTGCAGGGTCACTTTGACGCTCTCCTGCATCTTGATCCGGGACACGGTGCCACTGCTGCAGAAGGTCCCGATCCGGACCTCGGTGGCGCCGATGTGGCCGCTGACGGTGTAGGTGACTCTGTCGGGGCAGCTGTCCTCGCGCCCGATCTGCCTGAGGCGAGGCCTGAAGCCCAGCTCCAGGCTGGCGCTCTTGCCAGCGTGGGCGTCCCAGATGAACGTTCGGTTGAGGGGGGGCAGCATGGCTATCAGGGGCCGCAGCTGGAACTCCCCCAAAGGACACGGGTTTGCTGTGCAGTCTGAAACAGTCACAGAACAGTCCTGGTCACCAGTGCTGCCAGGCCACCCCTGCTCCTCCTCATCTCTTTAGTAGACCCTCCGGGAGCACCCCGAGGCGGACACACCCATCTCCGCGTTATATAGGGTTATGGCCAGTGGCTCACAGAAGCCCCCTTCTCTGCTGAAGTGCCTCCGCTGGGGGTACCTCCTGGGGCCGGAGACACCTGGGGGTTCCGCTGCCCCCTCAACAGGGAGCAGCAGCCCTCAGCCAACCACCGCTCATCGCAGGAGTGAAAATGCCCAGACTTCAACCTGGTGAAGCCGCTCCAATGCCGGCGTCAGCCTGAGGCTACACTTTAGCTACAACCACATCCTTGCCCAGCCGCTGTGGCTCAGTTGCACCAAGAGGTCACCGGTTCGATTCCCTGTCAAGGTCGTGCAGGAGGCAGCCGATCAATATTTCTCTTTTGTCAATGTTTCTTTCTCTCTCCCTCGCCCTTCTTACTCTCTCTAAAAACAAAAACATATTTAAAACAAAACAAGAATATCTTTGCCCAACCGGTGTAGCTCAGTGGTTGACTGATGAACCAGGAGGTCAGGGTTCGATTCCTGGTCAGGGCACATGCTCAGGTTGCGGGCTTGATCCCCAGTGTGGAGCGTGAAGGAGGCAGCCGATCAATGGTTCTCTCACATCATTGATGTTTCTATCTCTTTCTCCCTCTCCCTTCCTTTCTGAAAGCAATAAAAATATTTAAAAAATAAGATAAAAAATAGAAAGAAGTTATATCACTTCAAACAAACAAAAGCATCTTTGCTTACACCTTCTTTTCTCACTTCTTCACAGGGTACTCCCACAGGTACTTGCTTTTTAAAAAATATATATATTTTATTGATTTTACACAGAGAGGAACTGAGAGGGATAGAGAGTTAGAAATGTCGATGAGAGAGGAACATCAACCAGTTGCCTCCTGCACACCCCTCACTAGGGATGTGCCTACAACTAAGGTATGTGCCCTTGACCGGAATCGAACCTGGAACCTTTCAGTCCGCAGGCCAACGCTCTGTCCACTGAGCCAAATTGGTTTCGGCTTGACAAGTGTCTTAAGCGAAAGTTCCCATTCAGGCTGTTTCCAGGGAACCACACCCAAGACACCTAACGCTGGTGTTTTCACATGAAGCCGGTGGAGTCCCGTTGGTGGGAGGCCCTTTGCCCTGGAGCCGGAGCCACCGTTTCACAAGCTTGGGCTCAGTGCCAAGCTCTGCCTTCTAAAACTGGTTTTCCCACCCCCAGGCTCATCAACGCCGAGCACACTCCGCACGTACACGCCCCTTCGCGGCTGGGACCCGAGGCAGTTTCTTCCTGCCTCGTGGCCTTCACGCTCACATCTCACAGCCCGGTGGGATTTTCTTAACGCTACAACGAATGGCATCCTTGGCCGGACGTGGTTCCTAAGCTTCTGAGACGAAGGGAGACACACTGCTGTCGGGGAGGCATGGGGACAGTGCGTGGGAGAGGTAACAGCACGCAGGCAACCCCACAGGCGGTTGTCCTGGGCGGGGGAATCGGACAGGGGAGATGGATTCTGGCTATTTCATTGTTAATGCTTTTAGACATACTGTTATTGATTTCAGAGAGGAAGGAAGAGGGAGAGAGAGAGAAACACCCACGATGAGAGAGAATCATGGAGCGGCTGTCACCCGCACGCCCCCTTCTGGGGACGAGCCCCCAATCCCGGCATGCGCCCTGACTGGGAATCCAGCTGTGACCTCCTGGTTCACAGGTCGATGCTCAGCCACTGAGCCACGCCGGCCGGGCAGTTCTGGCTAACGGTCAGTGCATCCTCACGGCTGTTCCAGTCGGGTATTTGACAGCACTGCTCACTCGAAACAAAATAATGGGAGAATTTTAGAGCTGGACCTCTGAGGTCATCCACGCCAAGACTCTCCTTTTTCAGCCCCGAGCCCGGGGGACGGGCATGCCGCTCACAGCACACACACAGTCCCGGGACAGAAGCCCAGGCTGTGTTTGCTCAACCCGAGTCCCTGCCAACACACGGCACCACCTAACCCACAAAACAGGGTTAGATAGCAAGGTGACGAATGTGGCTAAAATTAGAGCCGGTGTGTCAGTACAGACAGCACCTATTTTTAGGAGCTATTGCGAGCTTCATTGTTTATATAAAGTCACTTCTTTCCTATAACATCCGGCCCTGCCACTTTGCAGCTCCACTCTAATGTGTCCGGGGCCACATGGAGCGGCTCCTGCAGGTTTCGCGCCCTTGTGGGATCACTGACCCTGTGAAGGGGCGATTCTCAGCCCAGATGCACTTGGAGGAAGTTTAAAAAATACACATGCCCGCCCGGCCGGCATGGCTCAGTGGTTGAGCATCCACCTGTGAGTCAGGAGGTCCCGGTTCGATTCCCGGTTGGGGCACGTGCCCAGATTGCGGGCTCAATCCCCAGTGTAGGGTGTGCAGAAGGCAGCCCATCAATGATTCTCTCTCATCATTGATGTTTCTATCCCTCTCATCTTCTCCCTTCCTCTCTGAAATCAATGTAGATATATATATATATATATATTTTTTTTTTTAAAGGAAAAGAAATACACATGCCCTGGCTGGTGTGGTTCAGTGGGTTGGGTGTTGGCTAGGGCACGGAATTACGGCCAGTTTGATTTCTGGTCAGGGCACGTGCCCGGGTTGTGGGCTCCATCCCTAATAGGCTGCATGCAGGAGGCAGCCAACCAATGATTCTCTCTCATCATTGATGTTTCTGTCTCTCTCTCCCTCTCCCTTATTCTCAGAAATCAATAAAAATATATATATATATTTAAAAAAAATCCACATGCCTGGGCCACCTGAGAGATTTTTATTTAATTCTATACCAAGAACCTGGAGCCACCAAGCTCCGTCTCTCAGCCACAACTCTGTACCAGCCACGGGACACTGGGAGGCCAGACGGTGTAAGCACTTGTCTATTGGCAGCTAAGAGCTTGGCTTTGAGGATGGCCACACAGGGGGGAGTGGTCACAACGACCAGACCAGAGGGGACCACCCCCAACCAACGGAGCCACACAGGCCAGGGCTCCAGGGAGCCCATATGCATATCAATATTCTCCTCAGCTCTGTGAAAGCTGCACTGGCATGTTAATTGTAATCGACTTAAACTGGTCAATTAATTTGGAGGAGAACTGACATTTACAAAGTATGGAGATTTTCAAGGAATACAGTATACCTCTCCATTTATTTGTGTCTCCTCTTTTGTCTCTCAGTAACACTTTACAAATTTCGCTTCATAGGTATCCTACATATTTATTAAGACGATCCCTAAATATTTAACTAGAACTTCTGAATAACAGCATGCATTGTGGGAACTCTGATGTTGTTTCCCAGGTTACGGGCAATGACTATTGCATAAGATATTTGCTACTAGGTTCTGATACACTTCATTGGATTAAGCAAATACCCTTCTATGTCTGATTTACTGAGAATGTTGTATTAAAAACATGAAAAACAGTGTCTTAAGCTGATCATGTATAGTTTTTCTCTCTCACCTAATAGAGCAAAGCATTCCATTAGCTGACTTGTTAATGGTGAACTACCCTACAGTCTCTCAGCAAACCCTCCCTGCTCTTGTTGCTTTATTCTTTTACTACATGTTTTATATTTTATCTAAGATTTTTATTTTTGGCCTGTATAGTCATAACAGACTGGTCGATGGTTTTCTCTTTTTATGCTTTTTATGTTGACATCAGGGTTTTAAGGGCTTATGAAATGAGTATGAAACGTCTCTTTCTATGCTCAGAATGGGAGTCGGCCAACTACAGCCCTGAGATCAATCCAGCCAAATACCCGTTTCTGGAAATAAAGTTTCACTGGAACATTCCCTGCCTAAGTGTTCACCAATTATCTATGGCTGATTAAAAAATAAATAAATAAATAAATAAATATATATATATATATATATATATATATATATATATATATATTTTTTTTTTTCTCTCTCTCTCTCTCTCTCTCTCTATATATATATATATATATATATATATGGAGAAACATCAATGATGAGAATCATTGATCTGCTGCCTCCTGCACACCCCCTACTAGGGATTGAGCCTCATGACCCGGGCATGTGCCCTTGACTGGAATAGAACCCTGGACCCTTCAGTCCACAGGCCGAGGTTCTATCCACTGAGTCAAACTGGCTAGAGCTCTATGGATGACTGTGTGCTGAGATGGCATAGCTGAGCAGCTGTGACGTGACAGAGACCCTCTGGCCTATGGGCCTGGATGTTTCCAGAATGAGCCTGTCTACCTTTCTCTAGAATGGCTTAAATACCAGAATTTCCTGCTCCTTACAGTGTTATAAGATCCTTAATAAACCATCGCTTTGTTGTTGTTGTTAATCCTCACCCAAGGATACTTTTTGATTGGATGTTTTAGACGTAGTGGAAGGGAAGGGGAGAGACAAAGAGAGAGAAAGGAAGGTCTGAAACCATCTCTAAGCCAAACCCCATCTCCTCCATTGTTATTTAATTATTCCAGTTTCCTAGCTTTTTATGAGTCCATTAAGTTTTTTTCCTGAAAATGACCACGTCCATTCTGAATGCTTTCTTCCTAAGGTTTATTTCATCCTTTTCCCCGCCCCCCTTCATGATCTATTTCCTGATTCAGAGACACATCAATTGGTTGCCTCCTGCAACGTGCCCCAACCAGGGTCAAGCCTGCAACCAAGGTACATGCCCTTGACCAGAATAGAACCGTGGACCCTTCATTCCCTGGGCCGAACGCTCTATCCACTGAGCCAAACCGGCTAGGGCTGAAACCATCTCTAACTAAGCCAAACCCCATCCCCTCCATTGTTTTTTTATTTATTCCTGTTTCCTAGCTTTTTATGAGCCCATTAAGTTTTTCCTGAAAATCACCACATCCATCTGGATTTTCACACTGAATATCACAACGTTGCACACGGTCTCTTACAATTTTAGAAATCGCCTTTGTATATGTCATTCAACCCACATTCATACTTTCGATGCTGGATGCTTGTATTTTCTATTTCCATTTTAGAAGACCAGGCAGCGATGTGTCTATGTCATTGGTCTTTATTGAAAACCAGGTCTTGGTTTTGAGTTATCAAACGAAACTTTAAGGACTTTAATTTCTCCTTTTATTGTTCTGAATGCCTTCTTCCTACGGTTTATTTCATCCTTTCCCCCCCCCCCCCCCCTTCATGATCTATTGCCCGATTCACTTATTTTCCGTGGAAGGCGAGGAAACGCCTGAGCAGACTTTGAGCCGATCACAAACAGTGTGTGAACATCCACCTTAAAACTATGGGAGATACACACTTTGTTTTTGTTTTTGCCTGATGGTTATTGGGCCAATCTCCTGCCCCAAGCTCAGGTTCTGAGTAGCGACAATCGTTTGTTGCATTCGTGTGTATCACACACTCTCTCAAGCCATTGCTTTAGGCCATCTTCCCAACAACCCTCTTGGCTGGTAAAGGACTCTTATTTTATAAAAGACTAGAAAACGAAGTCACAAAGGAGTTAAGCAACTCAGAGGAAGGCCCATGAAACCCAGCCGCCTCAGCCTCCTCGGCTGCCACCTCTTCCCTTGAGCCGTGTGGACCCCTTTCTCTACCCACCTCCTCAACCTTCCATCTCCTTCGTCCTCCAATCCCTTGACCCGTCATCAGCCAGGTATTCTCAGCACATCCGACTGAGCACCCCACACCCGAAGACCCACAGCTCTGTTCAGAGACAGTGTGGTTCAGTGGTCACAGGCCAGGACCCTGGAGCCCCAAGAGCCTGGGCTCTGGTCTTACTGCTACGCGCTGGCTGTGCCATCTCGGGCGAGTCCCTCTGAGAACTTCTCCGAGGGCCATTTGGAGGATTAAACAACTTAACCCGCACTAGGCATGCACAGAACGGAATGAGACGCAGTTTCAAAACAGACCTCGGCTCCCCAGCGCTAGGGGCCGGCCGGCCGGGCCGCAGTCCCTGAGGGGGTACTTACCGATGTACCTTTTGACTTCAATGACAAAGTGAGCCTCTGGATTATGACAGGAGAAAAGAAGTTCCACTCTGTCTCCCGGTTTGATGAGCAGCGTGCTCGTGCGTTTTCCAGATGTGAGCAGGTAACAGGGATTCACTGGCAGAGGCAGGGGCCCCGGCTTTATTTCCATCGTGATGTTGAGCGTAGGGGGCAGACCGAGAATATAAGCCTCTGAAGGAAGAGAAAGGGAGTGAGCAGGATAATTCAGGTCTGCAGACCTGCTGTCTCCTCTCAGTGGTCCAGAGAGGACACCTTTGTTCCTTGTCCCTTCCCACGCCCCCCTCAAACTCTCCCCTCCCCACCCTCCCCGACACACACACACACTCAGGGCCCAGAGGGGGTGATGTAAAACGACTGCTTTCCTTACCAGCGGGAAAGAATAGGGCCCTTGTGGGCTAGACACTGACACGTGTCTCTGGTTTGAATTATTCATTTTTCTAAAAGCTAAAAAATAGTAAGCCACATCCTACGTGGCTTGGGCTGTCTGTTTTCAGATACCCCGCCTGTATCAGTAGCAATCAACCAGAGAAAGTGCCACGTTTCTTCTCAATATGACTGCAGACCAAAGCCCACACCCAGAAACTGTTTGTGGGGGACACGCTTATCTGCAGAGAGCTGCTGCCTCCTGCCCTGGGCGCTTCACAGGCCCAGTATGTACCTATGTACACAGAGCCATAGGTACATACATACATACATACATACGTACACTCACACAGTACTGGAGGGAAGGAAAACTTTCACAGACATTGGATATAAACACATTACGTCAGCAAATTTGGAAATTAGAGCAAAATAATGCGAATACCTCAGGCTGGGGTTCAGCCAATGATCTGGACGAACAAGACCAGGCCAGTGAGAGAGGCGCTGGCTACTAAACAGAGGTGTGCACTCTGGTTAGGATGGGGCCCTGATTCTGCCCAAGCGCAGTCTCTCTCCCATTTCCTTTGCTCTGTCGACCTCCCAGTCTTCTCAGACGGATGGGGGAGAGCCACCTTCTCCTCGGTAGCCGCCACCCCTTCCCTGACTTGGGTCCTGACCGTGGGCTCTGGGCGGCCAATGAGCCCGATGGCCTGGGAGCAGCAGATGAAGGGACGATTGTCCAGAGGTGGGTCCTGTGGAGGGAGCAGGGGCTCCCAGGGGCCCACAGGGCTGCGGCCGCTGCCTCTGTCCCACCGTGTTCAGCACCCCAACCCCACCACCCCCAGTTGGGCCAGTGTATCTGAGTACTTAAAGGAAACAGATGGGCTCAGCAGTTGAGCGTTGACCTATGAACCAGGAGGTCAAGCTTCGATTCCCTGTCAGGGCACATGCCCAGGTTGTGGGCTCGATCCCCAGTGGGGGGCGTGCAGGAGGCAGCCGATGGATGATTCTCTCTCATCATTGATATTTCCATCTCTCTCCCTTTCCCTTCCTCTCTGAAGCCAATAAAAATATGTTTTTTAAAAAAGGAAGAAAACCGATGGGAATCCTCTTCTTCAGCCTCTTTCTTTGGTTTCTCCTGGAACGTGGCATTTCGTTGCTAAACCATTTCAGAAGATCTATTTCCCAGGCTCCCAGAAACCCAGCCAGAGCTCCGTTCTGGGGTGGTTCTGAGGCTCAGCGGCTGAAAGCAGTCTCAGCGGAGCCCCGCGGCAGCCGCGCTCAGAGCATCCGGGACGGGACGTGAGCAGGCGCCTCACCTGGCCCATGAGTCACAGCTCTTCCCTCTCCTGCCTCCTGGCCGCCCCTTATTAGGACACCTTCGCTGGCAGCTGCCTCCCCAGCAGCTTTTCCGGGGGAATTTCCAATCGCCTTGATCACCACTCATTAATCACCGTCCATTCATCCCTGTGTCACAGGGTGGTGTACAAACCCCCGTTATTTCTTCTCCCAGCCGCCCTATTTCTTTGCAAGGGAAACAAAGACAAGAGAGAGGATCCCACCAGGGGAGTTACTGGCTCCCAAACTTGTGAAATGCAGTTTAAAAGACTAACAAATGGGGTTTAACATTTCTTCCATGGGGCCGAACCAGCTGCTTCAGATCTGTGTGCTTCTCTCGGGGGCTCGGGTCTCCTCCCCGCTGTCCGCCAGGGCCTGGAACCAGCCCAGGCAGCAAGAGACAGAGGCACGCTGAGGCGCTTGGTGCCCTGCTGGCGTGCCCAGGAGGTGCGGGAGGCAGACGCAGCACAATCGTGAATGAGCCCCGCTGATCTGTCACAGCCTGCACGGCAGTCAGATTCCAAAGCAAGCCCCTACCGGAAATTCATTTTGGCCAACACCGCCCTGACCTGTCTTGGGAAGATAGCACATGGCAGACCCACTTCCCTCTCTGCAAGCTCACCGGCTGTGGCTGGGTGGGCCCAGCGTGGAGCAGATCTCCGCTTCTCGGATTGAGCACCGGGTGAAATGGCTAAATGGTGGCTGTTCTCTTCAAGCAGGGGACGCTCACACCCTGGGCGCCCAAGAGAGCGACACCAACAGACTCACAGAAGGGACGGTGACTCACCCTCCCACCCTCAGGCCGCTGACATAGTTTCTCCTGCCTTTATCCCCTGCAGGAGCAACTGTCCCCTCATGTCAGCCGAACTTTCATTTGCCTCCCTGTCTGTCTGTCTGTCTGTCTGTCCCAGCAGAGCCCCCTGAGAGCAACTTGAAGGCACCAAGGATAAGGTGACCAGACGTCCCGATTTTTAACAATTTGCCCCGCGGTGTTTTAAAAAAAAGTCCAGATTTTTGGGAAGAATGCACGACAAGCTAGGGAATGGTGAGACAACGGGAAAGGAATATACGGTTTTCGGCGGCCATGTGGCTATTTAGCCAGGACATGAGTTTTATATTATTTTTGTTAATTTTATAATGTTAAACTTTAATAATAACAAATAATTGTTGAGAACTGAATATCGAGAACTGCTTATCAAAGTTCGCATTGTTGATCAGTTGTTAGAATTCGACCACCATCGTTTGGACTTAATGAACAATGGCATTTTTTGGGATTGGCAACGACGAAAGCATTTTGTAACTGTCTCTCATACAATACCCATCGTACTGCGTGCTAGTAAGCTAGTTAAACAAGTGATGTCATTACAAATTAGCTATTCGGATAATTTAGGTAAGTACATTGTGTATTTCATAAATACATAAATTTTCTTGAATTTAGCAGACAGTACTCGTATTATTTATATTTTATAGTGGCGGCAAAAAGTCTAGCGCTGGCCTTGAAAGTGACACAACTATACATAATTTTATTTATTTACTTATTATATTTGTAAATTGTACTTATGTTGAAATTTTAAAAAAATATACTACAATACTATTTTTGCGTTCTATGAAAATTTTTGTTGCTCCATACAGACCAAATTTTTAATCAAGAACCCCCCCCGCCAAGTCAATGGTGTCCCGCTTTACCAATGTTAAAATCTGGTCACCTCAACCAAGGAAGATCAATGTTCTCTGAAGGCACTGAGGGTCAGCTATTAACACTCTGGGGATGGTGGCCAAGGAAAGCTTCACAGAGGAGACATGGATCAGGGGCTGAGCATCGATCTATGAACCAGGAGGAGGTCATGGTTCGATTCCCAGTCAGGGCATATGACCAGGTTGCAGGCAGGATCCCCACTGTGGGGTGTGCAGGAGGCGGCCTATCGATGATTCTCTCTCATCATTGATGTATCTATCTCTCTCCCTTTCCCTTCCTCTCTGAAATCAATTTAAAAAATTTTTTTTAAAGGCACAGGGGTATGAAGAACATGGCTTCCGGGGAGCCCCTCCAGGGAGTGAGTTTGGGCCGGAAGTCAAGGACAATGTGGGTAGAGGAGGCTGGAAACGGGGCAAAGGCCAGGCTGTGGAGGGACCAGCATACCTCAGCAGCTTCGGGGAATGGTTAAGAGTTTGGATTCCGGAATCTGACTGCCTGCGGTCATTCCTGGCTGGACCACATACCAGCCGTGTCCCCTAGGACAAGTTTCTCTAGCCTCAATGTCCTTATCAGCAACTGGGAATGACAAAGGAATTGTTGTAAGGATTTAGAGTTAGTGCACAGACAGTGCTTAGAGCAGTGCCAGGAGCCAACCTTGGCCAACATCTCCTCCACCACCCCCCTTCACCGGCTTCCCTCAGCCTGCCCCAGGGGGCGACGGGACCGAGGCCATGACTCCCCTGGGGCCCACGGTGGTGGGGGGGAGGAGGCGAGAGGGGTTCGGCGGGCTTGCTGTTGATATTATGAATGAGAGCCTGTTACAACCACTGACACGAGTGATAGGCAGCATTCCAGGTGTGAAGCAGGGAAACAACTAGCAGCAGCTTGGCTCAGTCCAAAGCCCCGAGTCCCGGCTGGCTGGGCAGGGAGGACAGCGAGGCAGGGAAGGCACCCAGGGGCAAGCTTTAAGGAGACACTCGCTGTTTGCGATGTGCAAGTTAGGGTGCCTCCTTAAATTTTCCCCACCTCCCCAGCCCTGGCCCTGCTCACTTACGCAGTGACTAGGTGACTTGTGTGACATTAGCACCTCTTGGAGGCTAAGAAGTGACCTCACTTCCCATTTGCTGAGCTCAGGAGGCAGCTGGGATGTCCTGGTCTGACTTCAGCACCCCGTCCCTCTCCGCTCCACTCCATGGGGACCACACTGCGCTGCCCTCACGGCAGCTGCGGAGGCTGCTCCAATCACCCAGCAGACGGGGAAGGGGGTGCTCGGAGTTGTTGGCTGACATCAGGGCCTGGGCAGTGCCACCACCATCACCCATTTAATGGGACCTGCTGTGGGGAGAGGGTGCCTGACTGTTACACCACCCAGTGCGGAGTCTTACAATCCAGGGGACCTGGGCACCCTCAGGCCACTTAGCATTGAGCTGGCCAGGCCTATTCACAGACTGACACATGGAAGCGAACGTCTTACCAACGGCAGGAGGCCGGCCCACCTGCCCGCCTAGAAGTAGTTCATTTCCCGCATCCATAAAAGAGAACCACAACTCAAGTTGGCTGTTTGAAGAATTGGGAGTGGGGGAGAGGGAAGTCCTCTCTTGGGCGAGGAGCCTTTGAAATCGAGGCACCAGGCCTGCCTCCATACTAAGGACCGAGCACCCAATGAGTGCTTTATGTGTGCAGGCATTGGGTGAGTATTTCTAAATCCCCACAGATATCGCCGAAACCGGTTTGGCTCAATGGATAGAGCGTCGGCTTGGGGACTGAAAGGTCCCGG